CCCATGCAGTGGGCTTCATTGATGTTTGTATGCTTGACAGACAGGATTTAAAGCTGCATCACATTTTTCTGCAACTCAACCCTTTCATAAAAGCTTTGAAATTTTCCAAATTAACGTCCCTACATGAAGGAAAATTGCCTGCTTGTTTCTAAGGAATGAGGCATCACAGGGATACTTCTCTGTGAAGAAAGTAGATTTCCCCAATTGACCTGAAAGTCTCAGAGTTGATCTTTGTCAGGTCTTAGCTTTTGAAACTTTCTAATCTGTATTGCATTTACAGCGGAATTGCAGAATCACAGAATGTTAGGGGCTGGAAGGGACCTCTGTGGGTCATCTAGTCCAACCCCCCAAACGACAATCTGAATCCTCACAAAATGGGAGTTTTAAAGGTAAATTTTTGGATACAACTTTTAACTAATCTGCTGAATTTACACTATGTTCCCGTTATTTTGTCCTGAGAAAGAAGCGTACCTCTCTGAGGGGAAGAGAACCATAGAGAGTTTAACTGTACAAAATGAGCTATAAATCTAGCACTGAGCAATGACTCATAGGATTGGGAAAATAATCTTCTCATGCCAATCAAGTATTCATCTGAAGGCACACAAATTACTGATCTAAGTGCTTTTTAAAAATATATTTAAACACCATAATATATTTAATGTATATGGTAATATATAACAAGAAACAAGGACAGGCAGTACTAGAGGGAGGGCTGCAGAATGAACTCATCACATATACAAAGGTGATCCAAGTCTCAGAGATTCAAATTCTGCCTATACCAAGCTTCACATGCTGTTCCTGCAGAGGAAAGTGGTTTTGTTTTGAGACGAAGAAGAAGCCTGGACATCCAGGCAGAAATCAAAATACTCAGTTCAGAGTACAAGACTGCTGCTTGAGAATTTTGTCAAATGCTGGACTTGTTCCAGATGATCTATGTGATGAAGCCAAAATCAGTTCCAGGGAAACACAGGAAATCCTACAACAACTGCAACTAGGAGATGCTTTCAGGTGCCTCCTGGTAAAGGCAGTCAAGACAGCACTACAACCAAGGACCTTGCCACTAAAAGTAGTATTCCTCATCTCAACTTTCAGACAAAAGTGACAACAAAAAGCCAGGCCAGGCAGTCTGCGCTGTACCTTGTCGACGTCTACTGTTGAGTTTCCTAAAGCAGGTGCCCTCCACAAGTCGATTGAGACGTTGCTGCTTGATCAGTTCTAAGATCTCAGGCTGAATCTTCTCTTTTAGTTCCCTTGGGAAGAGAGAAAGTAGGCACTTGTCAAATTCAATCAAAGACCATCCTCATTTGAGGTCTGTCACCTTCTGTTGCATGATCCTCTGCTGGTATGCTTTGCTAGGACTATTATTTAAGACAACACCAGAAAGCTAAAACACATTTTCAAACAATGATAAAAAACAGTAAGCAATGCCAATGACCTAAAATAATGACCAGCACTATATGCTTGTTCTTAATTCCACGCCACTCAATTAATTTGTTATCATTAAAATTCGGTGGAAGACTAATCCATGACTTGGGACTGCTCAAGGATCAAACCTCACCCTTCCCCAGGAGTGCAGAAACCCACAGTGCATTTAGAAATAATATTATATATCCTTCAGAAAATCCATTTTCTACATCCTACTTTGATAACAGTTCAACATGTCAAGAACTAGGCAAACGAGGCAGAAAACGTATGCACATAGTATTTAAAGTTTGATTTCATTCACCATCACACGGATTCACAGATGTCTGAATTCATCAGTTATATCTTCACTTAGATTCATTAAGAATACATAAAAGACAGGTTTAAACATCAACTCGACAGCAAGCCTAGCAAGATTAAAAAAATAACTGAATGTGTAGAGGATTTATAAAATATGAAGTGTGTCAGAACCATAATTTTGCATTGCTGTGCAAATTAGGTAATACCAAAAATCATTCTGTCTGGCAGTATGTTCCAGCAATTGTCATCAAAAGGATGCAAAGCTGTGGTATCCCATAGAGACAACAAAAATTTCTCTTTTCTTGATAACTTAGGGAGCCCAATCTCTGCTGACTCCCACATTCATTTCAGTGCTATACCTTTGATCTGCCAGACCCCCACTGAAACCACTGGAAGTCCACTGCTAGAAAGACCAGGCTGTTCAACAAAAAATGCCATCTTTCCCTCAGGTATTCACAAAATGGTTGGAGTTCTTGATGCATAACCCACTGCATATTTACAAGCTGTGAAAATCTAGCTGGTCAAAAATCAAGGAAGCAACGTAACTATAGAAACAGGCCACCTTCTGCAAATGTATTATTAGTCCTTTAGGATAATTTTGAAGCACTGTTGTTTTCTCATTGGGAACTCAGATAGGAATATGCTGAATGGTTAAATACTGTGATTAAAGGAATTCTGTGCTTGAACAAATGTCTTGCCTTTACCAAGCTGATGAGCTTCACCATTCCTCAGCTAAGAGCTGGGAGTAGTGGCTGAGGAGAACAGTATCCAAACACAGTGTGGATTACTCAGCAGTCCAGGCTGCATACTAAATCTCCAGCTAGACTGATTTCAAACATTCGAGACTGGTATAAAGATCAGTTTCATATTTAGGTAGTTTAATTCCGAAATTGGATGGTTGTCATTAAATAGGTGATAAAGATATCATGACATCATAGTTGTACCACACTACCGAAAAAACCCAAAAACGAATGGGTCACCCAGCACATTAACATCTGACTGCTTGTAGTATTCCCTCTTCTGCCCTCTAAAGCCCCATTCTTTACAAACCAGAGGAAGAGAAGGATTTTTAACCAACCCAAAAATAAACAGGTAATTCTTTCTGAAGTACTTCACTGTCTAAGGCAGACTTTCCATAGGAAGAAGGGAGGTAGGAAAGAAGGGACATCATCTGCTTCTTTGCTGATGTGCTGGAGTCCCTCTACGCATGTGCATATATTTGCTCTCACGACCGTGAAGCTCAGAGGTAGTACGCTCTTCTGTTGCACAGTCCCCATACATACACACAGAGGCTGTAGAGACAACTCATAACTCCACAGAGAAACAGTCTTCAGTGACTTCGGACTTTAGTGACACTCCGTAAGTCCATCCATCCCTTGCCACGGTTACCCGCACTTACTGTCTTCAGCAGCTCATGCCAACACATGGTTATTCTGACTTGTATGGTTTTCAGCTATTTTTCAGATACTGTGACTCCAGATACATTTCTGCAAGGTGATCCTGCCATTTAGCACTCCTCACTGTCAAGTTTTCTGTTCCATCACTTCAAGGTGACAGAAATGTGTCAGAACAATCAAACCATGGCACACAGTTAAACAAAAGATGTGCTTCTCTATATTTCCTTCAGAAAGCCATCTGAAGGCAAGGGAGTTCAGTTCCTCAGGGTCAGTGTCTGAAGACAAGAGGGTTAGGAAAAAAATCTCGGCACAAGAAATAGGTCCTCTTGTCTAACTTCAAAATCAAGCAAGAACAATGAGCTAAAGGAAGATTATAAATGCAAATACGTTATGTGAAAATTTATTTACTGTCGTTCAGATGACATCAGCTTAACAGTTTGTGCCTTGCAAAGAGAGAGAGAACAAACTTGGAAAGTCTAAGGAGACAGCAGCTTTAAAAATTGTTATTCACAGAATACAGAATGGTAGGGATTGGAAGGGACCTCTGGAGATCATTGAGTCCAACCCCCCTGCCAAAGCAGGGTCACCTACAGCAGTCTGCACGGGACCTTGTCCAGGCGGGTCTTCAATATCTCCAGAGAAGGAGACTCCACAACCCCTCTAGGCAGCCTGTTCCAGTGCTCCGTCACCCTCAGAGGGAAGAAGTGCTTCCTCATGTTCACACGGAACGTCTTATGCTTCAGTCTGTGCCCGTTGCCCCTACTATTAGTTTCCTACTGTGTTCCTGTCACATAAGAATGGCAAAAGTTAGCGGGCTGGCGAGACAGAAGGGTTGAGGGAACCACAGAGTAATATATATGATGGCTAATATTCTCATCTCTCTGGTCTTGGCACTACAGGCAATACTGACATCAGTTACTTGCTTTTAGAATAACAGACCTGAATTGTCTGCAAATCTGAAAAACATTAGAAATTATTTTTAAATTATTCAAATGATACTAGTTCTTCTTCAGCACCAGTTACGTCTGTCCCCAGCTTTTACCTTTCCAGATTACAGTTAAGACTCTTTCTTGTTAGCTGTTTTCCTTCCATGACAGGGCATATTACAGACATTTAAATCATTACAACACAACAGAAGAGTAATCCCAGAACTGCTTTCATGTGTTCTGTCCTTTTATCTTTCCGGCTTATAGCGATGCCCTCGCCTAATCACTTCACAAATTCAGAGCAGGCATTAGTGACTCTTTCTAACACAGCAGAGAAATCTGTAATATACAATGCCAAAAAGCATCCACATCTCTCCCTCTGTTTCCCTGTATGTTGCTGGTTTTCACACAGATGTTACTTAGCAATGGCTCCCTGGCTGACATTAACTCTCCTTTAACCAGCAAGCCTTCACTTGAACATCAGATCTTTATGCAGTATTAACCCATCTCAGTTGCCATTTAACGTGCCAAGGAGATCTCTGGTCCTCTACATGCCCAAAGGATTCCTAGACACCTTCTACAGACATTCAAAATGAACCAGTGATACTTAATAATTTCATTGTGGAATGGCAGTTTGGATGATTAACAGCAATCCCAGAATCTTGACTTCAATCTGTTCTGAAGGGCTTTTTATTTTCCCCAATCAAAAGCAGAAATTGAAAAAACTTCATCCCACGTAACAGAACAATGCTCACATAAAAGAAACTTTAAAGAAAAATTAATCCTGGCAAAACCAGGTTCTTGTAGTTATGAGGATCTAAGGCAACACTTTCCAGTTTACATTCATATCCAACTTCACTGAAGTTTCTCTCATGCAGCAGCTTGAAAACTCAAAACTGCCGTGCTTCATTCAATGAACATCAGAAGAAAGACTTCTATCATGTTCAAAGCAGGGAAAACCATCAACTGATTGCCATATTCTCCCACAGAATTAAACAAGGCCTGCTGACTTTACATTCACCATTGTGCACAATCTTTTTTAGCATATCTGCAAGGCTTTAAAATATACAGCACAGCCACGATCGCTCTTTTCACTCACAGTACAAAGGGGCTGTGATTCTGCACTTCTACCAACTGTGCCATCTACGCAGCTTGAGAGTTCAGGACAGGGAATCGAATTCAAGGGGAAAATGAAAGAACCGTTTCTTTTCACAGTCAAGAATAAGTGATCATGGATGTAATCAAAATGCAAATGCATAGAGTTAAACCGCTGCAAATGCAGTTGTGATTGCTTAAACACCTTATCGATTTACTTAGCCTTTATAGCTTTTAGGCTTAGCCTTTGTCCTGAACATGAAACGGGTCTCTGGTAGCACTTCAGCTGCTTTTAACTATTTTTCTTGGCTGTTTCAGTCATTCCATGATGGGGAAGGAGACTCTGCACTGTGGCAGCAACTAGCCAGAGAGACACTGGAAATAAAGAGCTTGCAGAGGACGTTGTCAAGTTTCACGAGGCTAGGCGATGGTGTGAGAGCATATAAATAGCTGACCTGTATCATACTTAAACAGTTGACTCATAGTGAAAGCCAGGAAAATGAGAAGCTTTGGTGACAAGCTTAGCAGTACTGAGCGGCTTTGAACCACTAAATGTTGCAGGGGATTGGCAGGGGATTTCTGAGCAGTGTAATGATGCAAAACTGACTGGAACCATTTGGAGCTTTTACATTGATGCATTACTATGAGTGACATCAGTTCTAATTGGGCATTAGGTCCTATCTTCTAATACACTGAAAACATAAAAGAAGCATTCCCCCTTTGATCCACATTGGTATGATTAAAATTTAAGTGTGTAAATCTACTTAGCTTACGCTTCCGCTGTTGCCCTGCTGCCGCTGGAGGAATGTGTCCCCAGAGCTTGTACTTAGATATCTGTATCCTTTAGAAACAAATCAAAATGAACATCCTGCTACTGAGTCCTGAAATGCTCTGGTCCAAACCTTTCTCTATACCTTTGCCTTGAAAAGCAGATTTGGAAAATCACAAGCGATTCCGCTTGAAACATGGTCAGCATTTCATGACATTTCAGCTGAGGCTTGTGGAGTCCTCACCATTTCTCTGCTTATGTCTAAAGGTTCCTGCTATTTCTGAGCACATCATTTGTGCACCACAGAGTCTGTATCTGTCCTGTGCCATCAGTTCAGCCTCAAGCCCAGACTTGGTCCAGAGCCAAGTACAGCCTCCATTTTTCATACAACAGAACAAAAGGTACTCTGAGAAACAGCAAGGAGCTATGGTGGTGATATTAGCATTTGACACTTTGCAGTAAACAACAAGTAAATGAGAATCCCATTGGCTAGCTGCCAGAATGTTATAATTTACAAATAAGTAACTGCTTGTCATCAACACCAAAGATAATGCCATAAACAAAGACAGTCACACAACACCACTCGTCTGTGAAGCCACTGTGTATTGGCGGCTCTTCTGGGATTCTCCATATCTCACTCAGAGAAGTGACATTTGGAATTTTTAAAAGCCCTTGGACAGAAGACAAAGTTGTGTTGTTTGTTGTTGTTTTTTGTTTTTTTTTAAAAACCACTACCAGCCCCAAACCCAGGCTCACAATCAGGCAAAGCTAGACAATGTCAAAGCATTGTTTCACATAAATAAGCCATGTGAGACTCTGTAGGGATTTGCTGAATCTGATTTAACTCAACTCAAAGAAAAAGTTGTGATTCCCAGCAGAAGCAAACATAATGCACTTCAAGCAGATGCCGCACCACTGCTTTTGAGCACGGACGGCTCCCTGGACAGCTCTCCTCCTTGGGTTCCCCCAGAAGAGCTCACACACATCACTCACATTTGTTAATCCTTCCATGCAAAAATGAGCGGGGAGAGAAGACAATACTTACAGAATCGGACGAGACTGGAAATCTTCCTGGTTCATTCTTTCAGACTGACGTATTTTCAGTATTTCTGTGTAACTGAGATTCTGAAGTTTGCTCTTGAACTGATCCAGAGAGCTAGGCTTGGTAGTGAGTGCTCTCATTATCTGTTCTTTCACTACCTGCATTACCTGTGGTTGACAACAAAGAAAAGGAAAAGAAAACCTGTGTTAACACTTTCTGCATTTTTGTTTCAAATCTTATTCTGGGTCACAGTAAGGTTTCTAGGTATAGAAGATGATCGGTACTACGCGGTCTCAAGACGATTTCTCAGTAGCACAGCCAGAAAATAAGACAACTTCTGACAGGACACCACAGCTTACAGCAAAAGCTCCTGCTCTACAACAAGAAAATTAGTATTTTGGGGGAGTAGTGGGGACGGTGTTATTTATTGCTTAGCTGTCTCCCTAGACAGCTAAATTAAAATTGCTGGTTGCAGGATTTTATGTCCTGCTCTGTCTGTGGTTTGCATGCCCACAGTAGCATGGCTCTCCTGCATTCTGAGCTGAGATGATGCTCTCGTCATGTTGGGGGCAGGCACACATAAAACAGCAACTCCTAACAGCAGAAAAAAGCTGTCAGGTCCTAAGGAGCTGACTGAGAGCGCAGATGCACATCCTGACTTCTGTCAGCTCAACCCAGGCGAAGCGCACAAGCCGCAGGGGCCAGTCTAACTGCCTGCAAGAGTCTTTCAGGTCTTACAGCTCTCCTGCTGGGCCTTAGAGCTGCTCCCCTGACCAGAAGGCAGCAGCACAAAGCTGCTAACTGTGGCCTGTTGCTTCCCTTATTCCTTATGCCCAGAGGCGATGGGGACCCACTGAAACACAGGAGGTTCCACCTGAACATCAGGAAACACTTTTTCACCATGAGGGTGACCAAGCGGTGCTACAGGTTGCCTGTCAAGCTTGTGCAGTCTTCATCCTTGGAGATAATCAAAAGCCATCTGGACATGGTCCTGGGCAACTGGCTCTAGGTGGCCCTGCTTGAGCAGGGGTTGGACCCGATGACCTCCAGAGGTCCCGTCCAACCTCACCCACTCTGTGATTCTCTTAGAGCCTTACGCTGCAGGCACAATATGGCCACACACTGTGAAAGAAACTGAACTTACTAGAAGAGACCATCAGTCAGGAGAGAGAGGAAGATCAATTTGCCAAGGATATTACAGTATTGCTTTTGAAGCAATGCCATAAACAATGCAAACAAAAAATGAGAATGAAGAATGGCTGGGTAACAGCCATCTATCTGCATATTAATTATTTTATCAGGAGAAAACTGCTGAGACACAGTTAACTAAGGGGAATTGCTTGGCTCTAGTTCAAATAAATACATATCACAGATTCCTGTCTGTCTCTGCAATCCTGGACTCATTTCCTTGGTGCTGGTGTTCAAATCACACACTTTGAAATGTTTATCTGATGCTGTGCTTAAGCTGGCTGAAAAAAACAATTTATCAGACTTAGAAAGGCCCATCCCACCCAAACCCAACAGCTAAAAAGCAGTAGGAAGCAACAACACCCCCCTGGTATCAAAGCGGGTGTGACAGAAATTAACAGCTACACAAATGGAGGGCAAAAGCTTTTTCTGCACTGGTAATTCTCCTTTTTTCTTTCATCTTCACCGTGCATCTTAAAACAGAAGCTCAGCCTCTCAGAGGTTCCCTAATGATTCTGAAAATGTGTTTTTTCCCCATGAATATTTTATTGCTTCACATGTGTTGCCTCAGTCTTCCAACTCTCATTGCCTGCACTATGTTTTATATTTTCGCTTCCTGAGATGTAACTTCTTTCCCAGATGTTACCTACGCACTCATTTTAGCTGTGTCCAGCAGGTGAAACCGAGTAATTAAAAACGTGAAGATAATCTCCTTCCTTACTACAAGGACTACATCCATCCCAGAGATCTGCTTCAAGTGGAGCAAGATGTTTCTCACAAAGGTGTTGGCTCAGATGGGCAGCAAATGCCTCTGCCGCATTTCCACCCCCAGGATGAGGCAGCCTACCCACGCTCACCTGGCTGGGGCCTTCCTCTGAAAACATCCTTGCAATTAACATCCTACTCCCGGTACATCTTGCAAACCTGGCCCAGACAGAGCTGAGCTCTGCTCCATCCACTCCTACAAATCTAATAGGTAGATTGATGTGTATTCGAGCAAGTCTTCTAAAACTTCATTTGATGATAAAAAGCAACGCTGAATTCTGTGCATCTGCAAACGGCTCACTTCAGAGACACAAACGTTTGTTCTCAGATGGTGGCCATATGCAGCCAAATCCCTCTGAAGAGTTATTAAGCTGGTCTGCCAGTGGGAATCGGCTCCTTCCCCATCTGAAGGACGAACTCCTCTTGACTGCCTTCCAACTGCTTAGACGGATTAACGCCTCCTTGACTGCGTTCAGAGTGCCCTCACCAGACCACACCAGTCCAAGCAAGAAACGTGCTTCCACACCTCGGTAATGACTAACCTGAAGGCCTAACAACTGTAACACTTGAATGTTGATGGATCGCTCCACTGCCCCATAAGGCGAGCAGTATACTCCTACTGATTTCACTGGGTCTTGGTTTAATGCCTTAAGGGGCTTAGGAAATGTAATGAAGGAAAAGTCCTCAAGGAATAGCGAGAAAAAACGCAGCAGACAATCCCAGTGACAAGTTGGGATCTTTAAAACTATCTTCTGTCTTCCTCTTTTTGTCTTCTTGACAATGACTACTAATTGCTGCTAATTAATTTCAATTTATATTTTATATATGTATATATTATTAATTAGGGTTAATTAATATTAACTACCATACTAGGGCCAGGAATGGAGAACAGGGGAGAGACTGTAAACCTTTCCCATTGAAAACAATTCAGCTATTGGTATCTCCTAAGACTACTGTCTGAGCTCCAGCAAACTGGGCTTTAACTTTTCACCCTCACAGAGATCGTGACATTCAGTCGCCTGCTTCACATGTGCTTTCTCAGGCCCACTGAGAAGTTGTGCCAGACCACTTTGTTACGTGTGGTTTTACAGCCAGCCTGCAGCCACCGTTTCTGCAGTACCATGCAAAAGAAGCATGCAAAACCAGGTAGCTTAATTCAAACATGCAAGCCCCATCACTGCTCATGGGATCAAATTCCCTGGCAATTAGAAAGCAACAAATTACTGCAATTTCCAAGAGACAAGCGTAATGTAACTGCTAAACTAACCATACTACACTGCTGTATTAACTATCGCTACCCTATCACCTTGATTTTTCATCACTAAACCAGATTTGCAGGCAAATATAGTCCTGCAATTGCTTACGCACGCATGCATGCAGTTCCAGTTTCATGCATTCAGGCAGATGTTTGTACAGATCTGGTATTTTATTGCTTACATATAGATTTAGTCTCCTAAATTCAGGCACTATGCACCAGCATCACCTACGCTTAGCTGCAAAATCCTGTATGAAGCCTTGTCTCCCTTCTCTGGTACTCACTGTTAAAGTTAACATGCAAACAATGCAAATTACTCTTCTTGGCTATGATCAGGAAAGTTATTCACAGGGTATCATCAAAGAGCTCCTTGGTTTAGAGGCTCCCCCTGCTCCCAAGACAGAAGGCACGAAGCGTATGCCCCAGCCCCAGCACAAAGCGGGTGATCACTTGCCTTGTAATGTTTATAGGCAACACCATTTAAATAGCCGGCCAAAATGTCCAAGCTGCTGACTGCGTTGAGTCTCCTGAGCATTTGGGAATCACTGCCAAGAACTCCTAATCTGTTCAGTTTCCAAAGCGGAGTTGCCAGCCCGTGATTACTGCTGTCTGAGAGACAGCATCAACCCTTCCTCCCCATGTGTCTGACCTTACAATGAAATTAAAGGTACTCTCTACTCAATCTGATTGTACATAAACACTGTAGACAGTTGTTTTAATTACATTGTGCTTTGCTACTCTTACTGAGAAATAAGTGTTTCAGAGGGCACATTTGCTTTAAGTCATGTCCTTTTTATCTGATGACCTCTTGTATGCTAAGACAATCCCGAGTTCTGCATTACAATTAAGACAGGTAAAGTCACTGAACACATGAACAGAAAGACAATAGGAAGAATAAGTATACTTTCGTTTGTTTAATCACACAGGACCTTATTCCTCGTATTCTGTATCCATCTAACTTTCCTTATGTTTCTACGGTCACTATCACCATAACATCAATTTATCTATTTTTTGTTAAGCTGTTTTAGTCTAGCTTTGTGTTGAGCTTATTTGACCTCCTCTCGGTCATGTCACATTCTGACTACTTCGCCTTTCCAACATTCACCCCCTCTTCTACTCTTCCTGTCTTGCCATGACAACTTTTGACCATGCAAACAAAGTCTCTTCCTTTCAGGATGGAGCAGAGGTCTGAACACTTGGGCTCTACAAGGGGACAAAATAAAAAGAGAGAAATTGTCAGTGTCAGAAAGAGGAGTTTATCAGGGCCAAACTACAGCAACCTTCCCACTGACCGCACTTTGGTGACTTGTTTGCACCTGCGGAAAGCACAGCCCTCTCTACTCCACCGACGCCATACCAATGCAAAGCTTGTCCTTGGCACTGACTGGAGAAGACAGGCTGCCATCTCAGACACCTACCATTGCCTGCAAGCTTCTGAAAATTTACGTCTGAGCCTTCCACTCACCAGACACACTCCTGCTATCAACTCTGAGCATCAATCTCCTCAGAAACCTCCCCCAGAACAGCCTGAAGGGCTGGACATTCACAACAACCCATCTGTGGAGCACCAGACAGAAGACGAACTCTTCTGATAATTTCCCAATGATACCAGTGTTTCTCTTGAACAAGCATGCCCTTTCACATGTAATGACTCTCTCATAGCAGCAAGAACACATCCAGAGACCATCACAGAAGCCACTAAGTTGCACCTCTAGTATCTTGGGGCACACATTACACTCATTGCTGCTTCGTGACTAACTCAGGGGGTTGTGTGTGTCAGCATGTTCTGCTGACTGACTGCCATTAATCTTAACAGTCCACTTTTCTTCTGCACAGACAAGACAGATGTAAACCCTGAGCCTACATTACCATGATGTGCTTAGTTCAGTGCTTTCCTAATTTGGCTCAAAATTAGCAAGTACTGCAAGGCACGATTCCCCGACCTCGTTGCAGCACATG